CCACATTCTTCAACACAAGGCTGGCACTCAGTCCAGACCTTCAACTATGTTTTTAAGGAAGCTCAACATTCCGTCCTTAAGTACTGGCCTCAAAAAACAAAACAAAACAAAAAACCACATTACCTTCTGAAGGAGGTGTTACAGTGCTCTGCTTTCTTGCTGTAGATGAAGCTAGGAAATATTTAGACAAAAGTAGATGAAAACAATTTTAGGTATTTAAATGTAGTGAAAACCATTATTTCTCCACAAAACTTGTATACAACATAACAGAAAATAAGTTAACCATAACTAAAATTACGCAAAAATCCTTGTAAAACAAATTAGAAGTTGTTCCACCATCATATGGAAAAGCATGTTAACATTTGAAAGTTACATTTATAGGCTCTTAATCAATGATTCCCCATTTCTGAGACACCTCTTTTTATACTTAAAACTATTTTGTACAAGGTAAGCCTGCCTCCACCCTTTTCCTAGCCATAATGGGTTGGTCCATCATGGGCACCTCACATGAGCTGGGCTGATTACATTCCTTCTCTCCAGATGCCACCTCCTGATTAAAATTGTTTGGACCAGTGGTGGGCATCTCACCCAGCTGGACAAATCAGAGTACTTTCTCAAGAATTTTGAAACCAGAACTGAGAAAAATAGTTTGTTCCTTTTCTTCCCTATTTTACCTTATTGTGATGGTTAATTTTATGTGTCAACCTGGCTAATCCATCATATCCAAATAGTTGATCAAACATTATTCTAGATCTGTGAAAGTATTTTTAATCAGTAGTCTATGAGTAGAGCAAATTACCCTCCATAATGTGGGTGGGCCCCATCCAATCAATTTTAGGCTTTAATAGAGAAAGACTGACCTCTCAGGAGAGGGGATTCTGCCAGCAGTCTTCCTTCAGACTTAAACTGCAACTCTTCCCTGGATCTTCAGCCTGCTGGCCTACCCTGCAGATTTTGGACTTGCCAAGCCTCCACAGTCACATGAGCCACTTCCTTAAAGTAAATCAGTTTCTCTTCCTGTCTCTCTCTGTCTCTGTATTTCTCTCTACAGGATATATGTTCAACACATACATCCTGTTCTCTTCCTCTGAGGAACCCTGACTAATAGGAACCTTGGGAAGAATGAAGCAGAAGCAGAGACAGAGAGGACAGACCTCACCTAGCTCAAGTTCCCAATTCCACAGTTCCTGAGACCTACGTGCATTCCTTTCCTTGAGTTCAGTGGAGATTCTGATAGTCAAAATAGTCCTAATCTACTTAAATTTGGTTTCTTAAAAACTTCTGTTTGTAGTATTATTTTTTAAACAATAAAAATTTTTTAAATGCTTCTTGATTTAAGGGCCTAAAAAAGTTCTTCCTCTGGGTTTATAAGACCATCATTCAATAAGCATTTGTGAGCTCTTTGCTTGTAAAAAATATTCTTCTTGCTCCCCATTCTAATTTTCCATCAATTCTAATTCCAATTCTACCATATTATAAAATAAACAAAAAGACTCAATAAAGGTCTTAGAAATGATCAGTAAATAGGCCTCTGAAATAATTTAGCTTTCCTAGGCAGCTTTGGGCAGGAAGGAAAGCAAAGAATGAGATTCTATTAAATTTAACTCATAATGGGCTCAAGGATCTGTTCCAGAAACAGAGAAGTCAGAGTTAATCTTAGAGGAATTACTGAGATCAGGCTATGTCTTAGATGTTCTAGACATAAAGCTCTATCATAGCATACAATACAGCTTCGCCAAAGGACCAAAGAGTGAACATTTGAGGCTTTGTGGTCCATATAGTCTCTGTTGAAAGCATTCAACTCCAGCTGTAGCAGGAAGGAAGCAGCCATATATAACACATAAACTAATGTGCATGGCTTTGTCCAATAAAATTTTATTTACAGAAATATGCAGCTGGCTGGATTTTGCCCACAGGGCACAGTTTGCTAACTCTTGATTTTATGGTATTTTGTTTGTTATAATTTCTTGCATTTACCACAATTATAAATAAAAACAATAAACATCTACTAAGTATTCTATTTCCTTCTGCTTACTTTCCCTTTTAAAAACAAACTGAATCTCCAGTGACAACCCCAAGTTCTTCCTCAAATTAAATAAAATTTTATTCTATTTTTAACATGTTGCAACTCTTTCCTTCTTTTTGAATTATAGTTTTGTCTGGATACGTCCTCAGGAATAGGATTACTGGATCATATAGTATGTCTATTTTTAGTTTTTTGAGGAACCTCCATACTGTTTTCCATAGTGACTGCACCAATATACAGTTCCACCAACAGTGTTAGGAGGGTTCCCTTTTCTCCACACCCTCTCCAGCATTTATTATTTGTAGATTTTTTAATGATGGCCATTCTGACTGGTGTGAGGTGATACCTCTCTGTAGTTTTTATCTGCATTTCTCTAATAATTTGTGATGTTGAGCATCTTTTCATGTGCCTGTTGACTTCTGTATGTCTTCTTTGGAGAAATGTCTGTTTAGGTCTTCTGCCCATTTTTTTTATTGGATTGTTTGTTTTTTGATATTAAGCTGTATGAGCTGTTTGTATATTTTGAAAATTAGTTCCTTGTCAGTTGAAAACAACATACATTTATTTTCTTATATTTCTGGAAGCCAGAAGTTTGAAATCAAAGTGTTAGCTGGGCTATATTCCTTACAAAGCCCCTCGGAAAGAATCCTTCCTCTTTTCTTCCAGGCTTTGGTGGCTGCCAGCAATCCTTGGTGTTCCTTGGCTGGTAGAGGTATACACATTTCAACCTCTGCCTCCATCTTCACATGGCCTTTTCCCTTGTGTCTTCTCCTTTCCTTTGCTAAGAATTCTTGTCATTAGATTTAGGGCCCACTCTAACCCAGGATGATCTCATCTGAAAGCCTTAGCTTGATTACGTATTCAAAGACCCTTTTTCCAAATACAGCCACATTCATAGTATGCAGATGGACATATGTTGGGATGGGGGTCACCATTCAACCCACTACACCCATGCATTGTCCCTACCCCTGAGATTTATATAGTCATTTTATTTATTTTAGTCTGTAGTTTATATGGAATATAATTTTTCTAGATAGTGAATTATCGAGTGTAATTAGAAAATATGTTTAATGAGTCCAAGAATGCATTTTGAAATCATTGGAATTATTTTTCCATTAAGTGCTCAATGTAAAATATATAACAAAAATAACATTTTAAAATATGAAGACAAAGTTAACTATAATGGAAAACAAAAATTTGGGAGACAGTAAAGCTGGGTGGGGAATACAGAAAGTAAACTACTAACATCTGATAAGACCTTTTTTTTAAAGTTCTCTAGAGTAAAAATATATGTTTCAAAAATTTGAATTTAAGAAATTTAGATATGCCATTGGTTTACTTCATGATCACATTCTTGAAATAGGTATTAAATAAGCACAGAAATAATACCAGAATGAAAAATTTACCAACATTTTAAAACATAAGCAATATTTCATTTAGGCAATTTTAGATAATACAGTCTATAAATACATTTAAGACAATTCAAGATCCTAAAATATAAAAACAATACAGGCATCAAGCACTTTTATATTAGAATTATCATTAAAAGATGAGCATTACCCAAACTGCAATTTTCCTTGACCATCTGCTGCATTGAGTTGTTTGATGTAACAGGACCTTCCATTCTTGCACTTACGCATTCTGAAAAGACATATGGGAAGAGAGTAATACACATTAGTATCTCTGACTCCTAATCAAAATCATATTATTTCACATTTTTTCGGGCCATTTTGGGGTTGCAGTTGCCAATAAAGGCATAAATTTTTACTGGCAAGCAAAAGTCTCAGAAAAATTCATTCCACTATAAACTTTTGATCTGATCTTCCCACCTGTTTGGCATACCCCTACTTTAGGCCTCACCACCCTCCTGTCTTTATATTCAAGTCAAAGAATTTCTTCTCCCAGGCTTATATGCCTTTAGTCTATCTCCACTTGTGAAGAAGTGTTTTATTATCTGTTATAGACATTTCAGGCACCAGTAAGGAAGTAGAAGTTCAGTACTGATGTGTTGATTGGATGCTGGTGAAGAACAAAAATGGAGTTTCCTGAACATTGTTGAAATCACATCACATAGACAACTGTCTAGTAGGTTCAAATTTTTTAAGGCAGGCTCTAAGTGAGAATTTCTAAAAAGCATTTTTAGAGCAGCAACTCCTGGCAAAGTACTCACTAAGCATAGAAACATCATAGTAAACAGTATCTTCCTCTCTCTATGAGCCTAAGGTCCAGGAGAGAAACTGTGTAAATAATTATAACATAAAGTTTTTAATGTGATGATAGATGCATACATAATGTCCAGAAGTTTAAAAGAAGAGATGTTTAATTCTAAGAGAGCCGGGATAAGAGATTAGGAAAGACTTCCTACAATAGATGATATTTGAGCTGGATCTTAGAAGATGAAGAGTTTTAGAAAGATAAAAGTTAAAAGAAAATTGCACACAAAAAGAATGGTGTTTAGAAGAAGGCATAAAGCCATATGGGATTTTCAAAGAAATACACATAATTCAATATTGCCATTATGTGAGAAAAACTGGATATGTGATTAGAATTGAGACTGGATATTGGCAGGCTCTAACTGAGGAAGGCACCAAACTCCTAAAAGAGTTCAAAAGGAAATGATACACTTCCAGCGCATCTATGGTAGATATATCTGACCAGTAAAGAGAAACATTTTAGGGTAAAATTTAATGCACAGTGTCTTTCTGGAGAAATTTTGAACATACTACCCCTCTTGGTTATGATTTTCTTTAATAAAACACTGTTTTAAAATAATTTTTAAACACTTACATTAGGAACAAATTTTAGGTAATTTGCACATGTTATTCATTTTAATCTCTCCAGATTGACAAGTATTATCATCCTCATTTTACAGATGAAGAAATATAGACTCAATGTAATGAATCAATTCGGCAAGTCCACCCAGCTTATAAGCTGCTCCAGTTGCACAATGATTCTTGTGCAAGTAGGTCTAACTGCAGTGAGTAGAAACCAAGAGTTGGATCCTTAAAAATACACTAAGATTAATACCCTACCCAAATTAACGTCAGTTGAGAGAGTTGGAAAAGCAAATCCAAGCCATGTTTCTGTAGAAACACTGAGAGACAGAAGTCTGAAAGAGTACATAAGAAGGCAGGTCCATAGAATCAGGATTATAACAGCATATGGACACAGCATTATGAATTCCAGATCTGAATGGAATAGTTAAGCTAAGGAGGAAGATTTGAGACAATTACCAAGATTCATGGACCAAACCCATCACTCCCTCACTAAATTGTAAGCTCCTGGAGGGCAGGGATTTTCATTTATGTTGTTCATTCTGCGTTCTCAGTGCTTAATAGAGTGGTTTGCACAGCTCTCTGGCGTGTGGCTGCTCAAGCTGGGTTAAAAATAAAATAAAGGTCAACACAAACCTACAGCGAACTGGACTAAAGATACGAACAGTTAGTTTATAGAAAAAGAAGTACAAATGTCTCTAATTCATTTAGAGAGAAGCTCAACATCATTCACAGTAAAAGAAATGAAAATTCAAATTATGCATAAATACCATTTCTCGCCTGTAAGATTATCAAAATTTAAAGTTCGACAGCATACTCTGTTTTCAAAGCTGTGGAGAGATAGGCATGCCAATATACTGCTGGTGGGAATGCAAAATGTTACAACTTACATAGTGGAAAATTTGACAATAAGTAGCAAAGTTACATATGCATTTTCCTTTTGACCCATCAATGTCACTTCTCAGAATCTATCCCAAAGATACGCACGCAACAGTATGAAAGAATATATATATATATATATATATATATATATATATATATATATATACAGAAGACTAGTCATTACAGCACTGTAATAGCAAGACTTTCAGAAATAACCCAAATAGCTACCGACAGGGAACTAGTTGTCTAAACTATGGTACATCCACACAATGAAGTACAATGAAACTCTAATAGAGAATAAGGGATATCTTTATATAATATGATACCATGTATCTAAGACATGATGAGAGGAGTACACGTGTGTGTGTGTGTGTGTATTCTTTATTTCAAAACTAAAAGGATAAAATGGAGACAAATGAAAATAAGATGCCTCTGAATATACCTCATTTTATAGACTTGACTTTGGAAGCATGTAACTATTGTACATAATTGTAAAACATAATCAAATTATTTGTAAACACTAAACTATAAAACAAATGAAACAAATAAATCTAACTGCATGTGAAGTAGTTGCATAACCCCACACAGAGAAGTTATTCTAAGAATAAGCTAAGTGACTTTCAAAACACAGGAATTTGACTTTATGTCTCTAGTGAAATATAACTAAATGACAAAAATAATTATTAAAAAAATCTTAAACTATTTTCAATGACCATATTATTGATGGTAGTATTTGGTATTGTTATTCTCAAACTATTGTATATGTGTTTTGGGAATAAATCAAAGGAGTCATTATGTTGGTGTCATTCAACTTTTCAGTGTGAGAGAAAAGATACCGATAAATTCAAGTAATAACCCTGAGTCCTAAATTTGAATCAAAAGTATCAGTGTCAACTTATGATGCATTTTATCTTTTAAAATACATATTCCCTAGCTGCTGCTAAGTTTTGCAGTAATCTATTATGTAGAAATAAATAATTGCCCATATAGCTATCAACTACACTGAATACTCTACCCAACATCTGTAGAATACACATTTTGCAAGTGCTTATCTAGTATATTCACCAAGTTTAGTCAGATTATGGGTCATAAAGTAAATCTAAAAAAAACTTCAAAAAACTGAAATCATACAAAAAATGTCATTCAACTAAAACTAAATTAAATTGGAAACCAATAACAATAAAATATTAAGAAAACTTCAAGTAACATCTTTCTAATTAAGCTTTTGGTCAAAGAAGAAAACCATAAAAAATTAGAAAAGATTTTGAGCTGAATGATATTAAAAATACAACATACCAAAATTTGTGATTGCAGCTAAAGCAATGCTTACAGAAAAATTAACAGCTTTAAATACTAATCGCAAAATAAGAAATATCTAAAATACACCTAAAGAAGCTAACAAGAAAAGAGAAAGAAGGAAATAATAAAAGTAAGAGCAGAAATCAACAAAACAGAAAACAAGCAAGACAAAAATTAGCAAAATCAAAAGTTTGTTCTTTGAAGAGTTCTTCAACATTTATAATCCAATAGCTAGATTTATCAAGAAAAAAAAAAGAGAACAAAAATCTAATATCTGCAGGAGGCATTAACATAAATACTACATTCATGAAAAGAATAGTAAGCAAATATTATCCACTTTATGCAAATCAAATTCAATAACTCAGATTGAAATGGACAAATTCATTGAAAGACAGCTTTCAAAGTGAGTTTGGGATTACACAGATAATCTGAAGAGCCTTTATTTATTAAAGAAATTGAATTTGTTGATAAAAATCTTCCCAATAAATCTGCTACAATGACAAATTTAAGCAAATATTTAAGAAAGCAGTAACATCAGTTCTACACACAAAACCCTTCAGAAAAGAGGCAATGAGAGCCTTCTCATTTTATAAGAGTAGAATTAACTGTACACCCAAACTAGGTAAACACATTACAAATAAGAACAACAGACCAGTAACCCTTATAAACCTAGAACACAAAAAATGTTTACAAAATATTAGCAAATCAAATCTAGTACTTTTAATACAACAAAATCATATAAGGTTTCTCCCAAGAATGCAGGTTGATTGAATACTCAGAAATCAGTGAAATGACCACATTAACAGAACAAAGGAGAAAAAAAACATACGACCATTTTAGCAGATAAAGAAAAAGTGTTTGACAAACTAAACAGTCACTCATGATTTTTAAAACTCTAGTAAACTTCCTGAAACTGTTAAATGGCATCTATGAAAATCCTACAGCTAATACCATATTTAATAATGAAATATTTCCCCTCTAAAATCAAGAACAAAGCAAGAATTTTTGCTCTTAGTACTTCTTTTCAATTTTGTACTACAGGTTCTAACCATTGCAATAAAGCATGGGGGACAAAAGACATATAGATCAGAAACAAAAACATAAAACTGTCTCTATTTGCAGATGACATGATTGTTAGAAATCTATAAAACAACTCCTATAATTAATTGAATTTAGCAAAGTCATAGTATAAAAATAGTAATAGTATTTTAAAACAGCTATATTCTTATATACTAGCAACACATAATTAGAAAATAAAATTTTAAAAATTAATTCTATTTATAATAATGAAAAAGACAAAAAGTCTTAGGGATAAATTTAACAAAAGATGCACAAGGCTTTGTGCCTAAACTGAAAACTACAAAACATTACTGACATAAATTAAAGAATACTTATTTAGATGGAGATAAATTCCTTGTTCTTGGATGGACTCAGTATTGTTAAGAGATCAGCTCTCCTCAAATTGGTCTCCAGATTCAGTATAGTCTTAACTAAAATCTAGTTGTCTTTTCTATGAAAATTGGAAAGCTAATTCTGAAATTTATGTGAGCATGCAAACCTAAAATAGCCAAAGCAATGTTTAACAAATGAGTAAGACTGAAAGACTTATACTACCTAATTTCAAGCTTTAGTCTGAAGCTACAGTAAGCAAGGCAGTCTGGCATTGGCTCAAGGATAGACACAAACTTCAATAGAACAGAACAGAGAGTCTATAAATAGACTCATACATTTGCGGTCTACTGACTATCAACATAGGTGTTAAAGCAATTTAAAGGGAAAAGTCAGTTTTAACCACTGATGATGGGACAACTGGATATCCATATAGAACAGAAGGAAAAAAAGTCAACCATTACTGAATACCATACAGAAAAATTACCTTGAATTGGATTATTGACTTAAATGTAAAAAGCTATGACTATAATTCTTCTAGAAGAAACCATAGGAGATGATAATCTCTGTGACTTTGGCATATACAAAGATTTCTTAGAATACAAAAGGAACAAACCGTGAAACAAAATTTGATGAACTGGACATTATCAAAATTTTAACTTTTTCTCTTTGAAAAATATCATTAAGAAAATAAAAATGTAAAGCACAGACTAGATGACAATATTTACAAAACACTTATATAACATAAGACTACTACATAGAATATGCGAAGAACTTCAACAGTTCAATAATTTTAAAAATCATTTTTTAAAAAAACAGGCAAATGAACAGATACTTCACCAAAAAAAAAAAGATATTCAAGTGCCCAATAAATACACAAAAAGATGTTCAATATTACTAATCATAGAGGAAATACAGATTTAAATTACAGTAAGATAATAATTACTCACCTATAAGCATGGCGAAAGTGAAAAAGATTGATAGTATGTATACTGGCAAGAATGTGAAGCAACTGGAACTCTTATACATTACCAATGGGAATGTAAAAGAATATAACTACACTAGAAAATTTCTGGCAGTTTTTTTTCAAAAGTCAAACATATGCCTGCTTATAACCTGGCCTGTCCCAATCCTAGGTATTTAACCAAGAGAAATAAAAACATATGTCCCCACAAAGATATGTGCATGAATGTTCATAGCAATTTTATGTACAATAACCAAAAACTAGAAGCAACCCAAATGCCAATCAACAGATACATAGATAAATTAATACAGTGGAATACTATTCAGCAACGAAAAGGAACACACAGCACTGATGAATCTCAAAATCATTTCCTTGAGTGAGATAAGATAGACACAAAAGAATACATATTACATACTACACATGAGTACTACTAATATAAAATACTAACTCATCTATGGTGACAAACCGCAGATCCATGGTTGCCTGCAGATGGTGGGAATGAAGGCAAGGATGGACTACAAACACATGGAGGAATACTTCAGGAATGGTGAAAATGTTTTGTTTCTTTTTTGTGGTGATGACCACAGGTATATACAATTGTCAAAACTCATCAGATTATATCTTTTAAATGGATGCCGTTAGTTATACATAAATTATCCCCATATTTAATTAAAGATAATCAAACATCAGGTTTTAACACCCATAACTTTAGAACATGCATCTACACAAATAAACACAAAACACAAATGAAAAGCCCTTGACACTGAAAATGTTTTTTTAAAAAAACTTTTCCAAGTCAAAATCATCAGTAGAAGTAAGATTGTTTTGTGATCTGACTACTAATGAAACTTCTTACTCACTTTGAACACTCGCTTTAAGTTTCCTTTCCCAAATCGTCATTGTCATATGCCTGAGCAAGCATGTACCACCCACGCAGTTGACACTATATAGGCATGACTGTGCAAACCCATACTCCAAAGGCTTCCTCCAGTGAGTGAAAAAAAGGCTCTCAGAAACAGCACATGGTTTTCTTGTGCTGTTAGACAGCTTTCATCTATTGTAAAACCCTGTGCTCTGCTGGGCTCCACTGACTAAAAACGTTACAGATAGGTATTTCTGATGTTTCACCATTCTCAAGAAAACCCCGATTCAGTAACTGTTGTTAACCAAAGAAGAACATGGATTATGCTGTAATTAAATAGCTAATATAGTGCTTAGATTTATTTATTATTTCTAATGTATGGAGATGGGAAATAGAAAGTTAAAGATTTTCTGCCCTTTTATTCATTTGCAGGGTTTGGGGAGAATAGAAACAAGGCAGTAAGGAGTCTGACAAAATGAATTTTCAACTAAAAGAATTTTAAAATTTGGAGTTGGGGGGGTGGGTATAGCTCAGTGGTAGAGCAAATGCTTAGCATGCATGAAGTCCTGGGTTCAATTCCCCAGCACCTTTATTAAAATAAAAAAAAGAATCCTATAATTGGGGAAAAACCATAGCCTAAATTATTTGGCGATGACCTTATTCTACATTCTTCTTTCCTGAATCATTTTAAAAAATTAAATAGATTTATATACTCTAGTTCTCCCCTCTACAAAACAGACTATCATTTTTACTTAAAAAGTTAGAAATTACTCACGAAGGGTATCCAAAGAACATTACAATCTAAGGTCTTAAACTCAGTAAGAGTAAAGCAATAACCTCTCCTAAGGATTCAAGGTTTCATTTAAAATAAATGCAGCTCTGAGACTGAGATCTTAATAACACAAAGACCTGGAAATTCAAATTACATTGCCAGAACAACTTTAACTAGCTACACTAAGCACATAACTTTTTCTAATCACCAGTATGGTAAGGTCAATACAATACAGAAAAGTTTACTATCACTTTCTGGCTCCAGAAAGCGTAAAAGACCAACCTTAACATTTTAGTTATTATGTTTGTACTGTGTTTTATAAAACTGCAAATTGTGCATGCAAGCTAGACATAAAAGTATTATTTCCCAACAGTTTTATGGTTATGAATGGATTTCCTGACAGTTTTTAGAGTTATAAATGGATTCAAACATTAATTTTTCTCCTTTTTTAGAGGTCCTAAAGATAAGATGAATTGTTATCCAAATAGTCTAATTATAATTCTGCCTCTAATGCAGAACTTTGTAACTTTGGGGGAAATGAGCCTAATTTACAATTTTATTTCTGATATATAATTGAAAGTTACTACTACCCTGTAGGAATAATTGAAAGCATCACCGATTTTTCCCCAGATTTTGTTATTTTCTAAATAGCAAACAGGAATGGTTAGAATTAGAGAGTCATATGATCTTTTTCTCTGCTAAAGCTACCTGAAAACTAATGGAGTAATTTTATGATAAATTTTGCCTTCTTTTTTTTGCCTTCTAAGAGGATAATTAGTCTCCCACTAGTAGTTTTCAATGAGTGACCACCTATTACATATGTTAGAGCTTTTAGACTAGTGGAGGGAAGTCGAAAGCTGCATTAGTATTTATTTATTCAACTATAATAGCTATTATAAATGCCTATTTATTGTGGAGCTTTCCATCTCATGGGTACAATACACATTAACCAGTTAATCGAATAATTATATGAAGTTGTAATAGCAATAAATGAAAAGTATATAAAATGTACACTGATTAAGTTATCCTACTATTGAGGTAGGGGGGAGCCTCTAGGACGGTTCCTACTGTTCGCCCTTCCTCCTACTTGTCCATGTAAAAATCCCTTCGTCTCAAGTTTGGGCTGGACTAACACACTTCTAACAAATAGAATATGGCAGAAGTGATGAAATGTCACTGCCAAGATTAAGTTATAAAAAGACTGACTTCTATACTGGTGTGCTCTCTCTCATTGTTGAGTCACTGTGACAAAATAAATATTTGAGTGTAATTTATTATGCAGCAATAGGTAATTAATACAAGACCCAATGAACAAGAAGCTAATACTAAGAAAGAGAGTGAGAGAGACAACATTCCAAATAAAAGTATTTTATGTGCAGAGAACATGTGAACATGTGTCTGGAGATACTAAAGGGAATATACTAGGATCTGAAGGAAGACTAGGGCTAAAAAAGAGTTTCAGCTTTTGCTATTAATCTAGTCTTCCATGATAATTTCAAGATTTTTTTTCCTGAGACAAATGTATTTTCCTATGGAAATAGAATAGAAAAAAAATAATAAATGTTTGCCATTTTGGCAATATAAAATGCAACATGTTTTTTTAAAATTAAAACTTTCTCTTTCGAATGTCTCATAGCTTAATAATTCAATTATTGTGATCCTTACTTCCAAAAAAGGTAAGAAACTGAAATGAAAAATAAGAGATTTCTTATTTTAAATCATGTTTGTTACTTCTGGGCCAGAGTTTTTGCAGGGAAAAAATATTTTGCAAACACCTGAAATTTTAGGATAAAAATTATTTATACTAATGAACTACAACTGCAAATTTAAATATGGATAAATCTCAAACGTAATATTGAGTAAATGAAAGTAGTTATAAAATAATATGCATAGTAATATATGTAGTATGTTCCATTATGCACAATACAAAAAACGCAAAATCAATTTTATTTTTGGGGATACATTTGTATGTGGTAAGATGTAAAGAAAAGCAGGAATGATTATATCCTAAAGAGAACGATTATCCCCCAAAGTAATGGCTACCTTACAAAGTTCAAAGTTCAGGGGCTATCATTGGGAAGGAAATGGCAATAGTCTACATCTTAATTTACATAGATATTCAGTATATAATTGTTCTTTGAAATGTGTGTATATCATACACTCTGCAATATATATTATATAAGATCACTATAAAAGAAAAACTGAAATAAGTACAAAGAAACACAATTAGTACTTTGTTAAAACATAATAATGTCAACAATTGATCTTGGTATCATGACATATATTTCATGTTCTTATACTTTAATTTCTGAAAGTAATTTATATTTTTAAAGACATTAATTTAGTAGCAAACACCTAATTACATATTCATTAAACACAGTATTGGGTGGAACCTAAAGTGTTTGCAGAGACAAAAATGGAAAAAAAACACCAAAGTTAGAGTAAGAAATCAACTAACATTTTGGCTCTTCCATTTATTGCCTCTGTAATCTTCTACCAATTATTCTCTGAACCTCAGCTGCTTTATCTACACATATAGGAATTTAGTATCTGATAACAGTGGTCATTCAAATTCATAAAGGGAAGGATGATTATTTATATCACTGATAAATGGTATTAGGAGGACTAGCTAGCCATTTGGAAATAAAAGTGGATTCCTATCTCACTTTTCACACAAAAATAAAATGAAATGAATCAAAGATTCAAACATTAATTAACTAAAGTACTGAAACAAGACCTCTGTAATTTTTTTTCTTAAATGAGTGGGATAACTAACATCTCAGTTTGTCAGAAACTGAGGGAGTTCCTGGGACACAGGACATTCAAGGTTAAAACCAGGAAAACCCCAGGCAAACTAGGACAGTTGTCACCTTTAGTGAAGAAAACTTTCCAACCCTGATACAATATACAAATATACAAAACCATAAAGGAAAATTTGAGAAATTTAGCTGTAGAAAGACTAGCCAATAAAAAAAAATCCATAAACTGTTAACAAATAAAAACCTGTGAAATATTCACATTATGATAAACAAAAGGCTAACTTCCTCCCCCAAATATACTGAAAACCAATATAAAAAAAAGAGACAGACAATCCAATTGAAAAAAATGGGCAAAACTTATAAACAGGCCAACAAAAGTTTACATTAAGTAATATGTTAAATGGTGACTTAGCTAGTAATTACAATTATACTCTTCAGATACAACATAGTGATAAAAATTCAACACAGAGATGGTTTATAAAAAAGAAAAGTAAGAAATGTTTAAGAAAAGTAACAGGCTCCAAAACACAGGAATTCAATAATGAATTCAGTGGATGGACAAAATTTAGAAAGCAAAAATTATGGTAAATAATAAACTTGATC